ATTTTATTTTTTTTAGTGATAATTATAGATCATGGATCATGGATCATGATTAAACGTTTAAAATATGGGATATAAAGATTTAATAGCCATCATAGTTAATCGTTCAAAATTGTATATTTTGATAAAATTGTCTGAGAAGAACTGTGTTTATTTTTAGGTATGGGAAAAATTAATTTTTTTTTATTTATTAAACTTACAATGTGTCAACATATTACATGTTATTACAAGGTAAATACATTTTTGACAAGCTAAATAATTATTTTTATCAAACATATTATCTACTATGATAACCGATATTTTTACTGACAATTTAGTATAAATAATTTATATTTTATTTGTAAAATCATACAAGTAGTACCTATAATTTTAATTACTCAAAGTTTTGGTTTAGGTACCGTGTATGTTATATTTTTGCTTATAAATATTTGTAAACAAAACACACTCCATCCAAGTTAATTTAATAAAGCACAAGTTGTTTTTGGATATATATGTATAAAATAATAATTGTAACAATTTTTTTAGATATTTATGAATTATATTATTTATGAAACTGAGTAATGACTAATGAGTATACATAAGTATAATATACYAATGCAATTAGAATGGTTAATTTGAATTCTAAATGTAATTTTCAATTATTAAATAAGCATTAGGGACTTGAAAAAAAAATGATAATTTCAACGCCACAACAATTTTTAGTATGCAAGAACTGTCAATTATAAATAATACTAAATTAATGCAACTAGATTAAATTTTTGTACGAAACATATTATATCAATAACTGCTATAAAAAAATCATAATTTTTCCAAATTGTTAACCATATTATCATTTTACTCTATAATGTTTTACTAGGAATAATAGCTACTTTTTACATATAAATATCAAATTTAAAAATAATTAAATTTTAAATTCAGATGGCCCAATTGCGATTTTTCTATAAACATTAAGTTGTCAACATTTTATTATTATTATATTATCTTACAAGTATATTACTGAGTAGCCAAGTAAAATAACCTATGCTCTCTCCACTGTGGAATACCATTGCACTTAAACTTTATAATCGTTAATAAGCTTAAGATTAAATAAAAGTTGTCAATCAATGACTTGGCACAGATTTGATCTGGACCTGGTTTTATATCAATTAAAAAAAAATCTTAAAAAGTGTTATTAATTTTTATTATGGAGTTAGTATAATTATGTTCTGTCTCATAAAAAATGAAATAGTTTTCTAAATAATTTAGTTGAGTTAAACATATTTTTAGTTACCTAATATATTTAACATTTTAATCAATGTTATCAAAATAAATAACACAATAAATTTAGTTTTTATATTATTAATAACACTTAACACATGGAAAGAGTAAAAGACTATTATATAATATTTTAATGTAAATTTCCAAATTAATGTTACATAACGCAMATGCAACATATTTTACATTTTTACGTCCATAAATGATTATTTTTGTAAAAAATATATATTACATTAATATTTATGTGAAATAATTTAAATCAAAAAAACTTTTGTGTATTTTTGTGAATGTTTTAATGGTTATTTTTAATAATTCTCTCTCATTTTATTTGAAAAAATGATTTTATTTCTTATATTGTTTTAATAAGTTTATATGGGTAAAAATAACAAGAAAATATTTGTTTGACCTAACATAGGTAGGTATAATAAATACCTACGCAATAAATTSAATTATTATTTTTCAATATAAATATGTGTTTGAATTGCAAAATCTAAATTTAAATATTATTCATACTATGACAATTGACAGTATAGTCAAAAGTCATTGTTTTAGTTGTAATAAATCGTTTCCTATTAGACAGAGTTCACTGCGTTATAAGCTATAACTTCTTGTGTTATATACTTATAATAATATTATTATGYATGTATTTTATTTTATTTTAGAGCTTATATGAAAAGTTCAAAAGATCCTTTTTTATTGTACTGCTCCTTATTGTAAGGCAAATAAGAGTTTAAAAATCCTTCGGAAGTATTCGTTTTAATAATTCTTAGTTACTTGAAGAGTGTAGATTAGTCAATTTTTAAGAATTTCTTTTTAAAGAATTATTTAAGTATAATTAAGTGCAAGGTTATCCAAAAAAATTCATAAGATTGTTTTCTAAATTTATAATAATATGCTATCAAACTGGAATCTATTATCGTTYTTATTTTTTTATTATTATTTTTCTGTAAAGCCCAAATACGAATTCAGATATTAATAGTATAGAAAGAAAATAATATTTATAATCATTTATACTTTATAATGATGATGTTCGATTGGAAATATTTTCAAATTAAAATTCACCCACAGGTTATACAATTATCTTTATAATAATATTTAAAAATAAATATTGATTTTGAAACTTTATTGGAGTAGATTTTTATTAATGAAGTAGGTATGAATATGTAGTTTTATCAATAAGATATACAAAAAATAACAAAAAAAGACTATAACATTAACTGTATTAAAACATTCTCATATACTTGTAATTACTAAAATCTTTTTAAATTGAATTAATTAATAATAATGAATTGAATACATTTAAGATTGACCAACATGTACGAGAATCACTGGTGTAGGATATATAGTCATTGAAGTGTATACAAGTTTATATTTTAAATGAAATTAATGATCGCATTAGTAGGCAAAATAATATAAACTATAATATGGAAAAATATGGTTGCTGATAAGTTTATTTTTTGAGAACAATATTATGGTTGAATTCATAACAGTGGCTAAGCCTCAATTGTATGTGGTTGATGTAAATAATCATTAAAATASAATTCAATTTATTCAACCTTCATAGGGTGTATTCTTTTATTGTTTTTTAGTAGTTAGAAAAACTAGATATATTATCACAACAGTTCGTCTAAATTATGTTATAATAACATTGGATAAAAAAAAGACTAAAATAGTATTTTTTTAGAACGAAATCTGTTGTTTTATTCATTYCAACATACAAGAAGTTTTTACATAAAAAATATGGTGGGAACAATATCATGATAATAATATGAATACAACTGTTCTAAAGTTTTAACCCAAAAACTAATTCCAAATCTCAACAAAATACTCTAAACATGGATTTTGAGATCTCATAATAAAATCTCATTGAAATCATTTTCAGCGAGATATTTTCGTTGGGGGGTTCTCAATAGTCAATAGTCAATATTTTCTCAGTACATTTCAAATAAATAGGGTTGCTGCTTTAGCAGGTATTAAAAGTTTGCTAGTATCATCTAAAATATTAATTAATATCTTAATTAAAATTAACACTTTTCTTAAGTTCGCTTTCATTTTTTCTATTAATCGATTTTTCTTTAATTTGGTGAAATTTTGATCATGTAAACGTATGAAAAACGTCCGCGATGATGATGATCAGGACAAAGTTCTCAAAACAAAAGAGCTCATGGTGGTCAACGTGTCAAAAAYTGTTTCTCTAGGTGAGATACATATTGTTATATTAAATTCCTTTATAGAAACAGGCAGAACATCGTCAATAAATGATTGAGTGAGTCAATGATTGCTAAAAATATTATAAAACTTACATCCATTTGATCTGTGGGAATATTTGATGGTATCATCCAACATCCCACCCAAGAACAAACACGTTTTTGAATAACAGGATTTGTGGCATAAAATATGAATATTTCAGTTTTTAAAAATTTAATTTTATCTCTTAYAAATGTGAATTACATCTGATGTGGTTCGGATATAATATATAATTACATTATATGTGATGTAGAGTTTTATATTTTAAAATGGTATAATTTTGTCAAGCTATATAGTATTATTTTAAATTGATAAACTCCGTATTTTAACCCTCATAGACGTAAATTAATATAACAATTAAATAATGTACGTTATTTATATATATATATATATATTCAATATATTATACATTTTGGATCGATTTTGTTTTCTTTCGAATCAACATTATTTGCGGAAGATAAAACGTTTATAATTGTCAACTATAGATTATTGTAAATAATAGTAGATATTATTATAACTTTATAATTTGTGTGAAAAATTTGCAAGTTGGACGCATTCTAATCATTAAGATATATATCAATATCTTCGTACAGAATTATACCGTAACTAATGTACGTTAATTTGAATTATAACATTTATAACTCGCGGAGACTATACGTCATAATATACCTAGTGAACTTACGTTGTTAAGAACGACTTGGTTATACATAAATAAAAATATTATACTAACGCAGTGGTTTTTTTTTTTTTTTTTTGAAGGAGGGGTTGGAACTATGAAATTTTTCAAACAATCATACTATACACAACTGATAAAACCTTCTCTTGCTTGCGAAAAACAATTAGCACTCCATTTCGCGTCGTATATTACACGTATGATTGTATATAGTATTAACTGTAAAAATTAAGAAGACWAAACAAAAGCGTAGTATTTTCAATTTCGAATTACGTGTTCACATTTACAGATCACGTCCTCGACAAAAGTGTATTTATTTTTAATTTCATCGAAAAAATCTTAAACGATATATGTTATACAAATATCCAATACACTTATTGTAAATTTCATAAATATGATACCTACATAATATAATAACGTAAATGTGAATACAGACAGACTGCAGTACTTGGCTGGAAATCACTCAAATGATAAGTCTCAAACATAATATAGATTACATATTGTGTAACTAGAAATTATTGTTCTATACACTGAGGTGAAAAGTAAAAAGTATCGTAAAGCAAGTTAGAGTACTTATCTTTAAAAATGTTGATAAATAGTTCCACGTTTGGAATAAAAATTTGAAATACACTTAAAAAAAGTTGAGGGCTCAAGAAGGAGGGCTGCCTATTGTTTTGAAAAATCTTTCGGGCTGCATTCACAACAAAATAAAATATAATTAAAAAATACAAGATATGCTTAAAACGCACTAGCAGAACTCATATAAAGACAAGGTGGGTGACGGGTTGAAGACCTCTGTACTAGAGTATGATGTAAGGGTGGTACGCACCTGTAGAGCATGCGCTCCTGTCGGTCGGCCTCCTGATAGATGCGATAGTACGTGAACAGCATGATGACGCCCGGCACCCAGAACGACACACCGGACGACACGACCGCGTACTGCTTGTTGACAACAAACGTGCACACGTCCGGGTGACGGGCCCGGTCGCGGTCGTGCGCGGCGGTCGTGTACCAGCCAGCAAATATCGGCGCGAACGATATGAGCACCGGTGACACCCACACGGACGCCAGCATGACTACCGTCCGGGACTTGGTCATGATCAGTGGGTAGTCCAGGGGCTGGACAATGGCGTAGTACCTGTCCACGCTGATGCAGCACAGGTGCAGTATGGACACGGTGGAGAAGTACACGTCCATCGAGTTCCAGACATCGCACATGAACCGACCGAACATCCAGCGGCCGGTAATCTCGAAGCTGGCGTTGAAGCACATTGCGAATATGGCCACCAGCATGTCAGCCAGAGCCAGCGACACGACGAAGTAGTTGGTGATGACGCGCAGCTTGCGGTGGCGCATCACACTCACCATCACCAGTAGGTTGCCGAACAGCGCGGCCACCACTATGAAACACATGGCCGCACATTTGGCCACGTAGCCGCAGAACCGCGCCTCATCGGCCAGGTTGTCGAGCAGTCCGTCCACGGTGCCGCTGGAAATCGCGGTCGCGCCAATCGTGGCCACCGTAGTTGCCGTCGAAGCGTTCGTTGTGACGGACGCCGTGGTTGTCGTCGCCTCAGTCGTCTCGTTGATCGTCGCTACGGCCGCAGCCGCCGCCGCCGCCGCCGCGAACATTTTTGTTATCACCGATCCCGGGATCTTCTTTTCCGCACGTCTAGCTCTTCCGCCGCCGTCTCCGTTGCTTCCGGACCACAAACTACATTTTCCAACCGTTTCCGGTCCGGACGCCGCACGCGCACCGCAGTAGTCGGCCGACGCCACCGCTGCCGCTGACACTGACGCCGTCGTCCCGGCCGTTCGACGACGGCAGCATGTCGACGATCGTCTGAAAATCACAGTCAGACAGAAATGAATTAAGTTTTAGTATCCAAACAAAATAATTAAACGAATTATTATTAAAATTAACACGCGTAGTGTGCTCGGTTCAGTAAGATCGAAACTGTGTGTGTAGGCACATTGTAAGCACTGTGACATCCACGCCATAATACTCACAAATATTTTTTTTATTCAAATATTTTCTACTCAACTTTTAGGCGTTTCCTTAACTAATTTTAGAGTTTTTTGACACATTTAATAGTGTTAGGTAACATCAAAAACATCGAAAGCTGGTGGCAAATGTATACGGGACACCCGCATATTATATATTTTATGGACTGCTAGATGCTAAGGCCTAAGAAACAATACCAGAACCAATATTATAATAATTATTATCGTTCAGAGTAATATTTACGTGATACTATTATTATTATATATTTTGACACTAGGAAGAGTTCAAAAAATTAAAACCATTTGTACCAACCGAGATATTATGTAATAATAATTTTAGGATTGTTATTAAAAAAAAAAAATAATAATAATCATATCTTAAGCCAATCGTGTAATATCGGATACGATGGTGAAAAGAGATTAACTAATAAAAGGTAACTTAGATAAATATTAATTTATAATAACGATTTGGAACGTTCACGTTATAATACAATAACAACGGCCTCTCGTTCGGAATACGAAATATTGCGTTTGTAATTAAAATTTTATGAATAGTTTAACGCCGCGATTAGTGAGATAATATTATCGCAGTGTAGAATGTTGAGGGATCGATAAACAATAATAATTATTAGTAACTTACGCGGCATAATTGTATGTTGAATTAATAAAACTAATATATATTAATATAATGCTGTACACTATAAATCAGGTGGTAATTTGTCGAGGAATTATTTATAAGACTCGACCTAACGTCGGGCTCGTTGACCGTACCATATAGTTCGAAGTTTGAGCGGTTCTTGATTTTTGTGTTTTTTTTTATTTCTTTTTCCAGTCATCTCAATGTTTTATTAATTTTTTTTTAAATTGTCAGCACAGAACATTGAAAGACTGTGAAAGAGGGAGAAGTGAACGTGGACGAGCTGAAGGGTTCGATGAGATAAATTAATTATTATATAGGTACACATACAATTGAAACGTATGGGATTTGTGTTTTTATAATTAGACCGTAGTCAAAACGCCTTACGGATCAAACTCTACTCGTTCACAAAAACACTGATTAAAATTAATAATTCACGATCCTATCGATTGCCTTCTTACACACACATATACCTACATAATATTATTATTTATTATTAATGGACTGGAACATAAAAAAACATTAAAAATTTGTATAAAAAAATATTTGTATCGATATTATTATATTGTTATAAATACAAACAAATAAAATACAGGGTGTTTGGGTTGTCTTTATAGTTACAACATCAAATTCATCTAGATTTGTGCACACCTCCATCAAGGCTATTTTGTGATTTCCTCTGATTTGATAAAACGTTATTGATTTAAATAGGCCAACCGTCTTTATTATTTCAAAATGTTTGAACAAAAACTACATCTGAAATCCGAGTATTTTGATATAACACTCTGGGGCTCAAGAATCTAATGTTTCAAATGGTTAAACGCAATGTGAGGTCACGAAATAGTTTTGTTTCATTTCATTCTTGAACACACTCGTAATCATCGATACCTACTCTTTCGAACTTGAACTTTGATTTGTTATAGTAACCATAACTATTATAATATAATTATCTTTATATTATAATAATTGTAACTATTATTTATGACCGACGTTCGAAAAATAACCAGCTATTGAATGACGTCCGAAAATCAAAAGTCGACACTGTCACGATCAACGCATTTATTATTTAAATCCCTTCGTTCCCTCTGMACCGACCCTTGATGTATACCTGTACCTGTACTGACGTCTCACCGTCACTCATCCGACTCTGACGCAAGCCGTATTTACTTTTCTTATGCCTTTGCGCATTTATGTATCATAATATTTGATCGTTCAGTCGTGCAATTTAATTATTACCATAACAGCTTTATGTCATGTCTGCGTGCGTTTCGTTTTTGTTATTTTGTGTTTAACATATAATGCACTCTATTAATACGGCAATACCATAATAGAATAGGCAATATATTTTAGTTTGGGATTCGCACCACCCTCGCCATTACCACTGTCGTGGTCGCGGTAGAACATATCGTTAGGTGTGCGCGATAGGTATATTGTTTCATACTAAAATTATTTTTATTATAATATGTTCGATGTTGTTTTTGTAATATTTAAATAACTGCGTTCGATGTCGCAATGAGGTCGATAATGTTTTTGACGTTTTACAGTCGTAATTTTATGAAATATAAAGGCAGGGGGATGCGATCGATATGACAGAGAAAAGATAAAGATGAGCCTATTCGTAGTTGAGATAATATTATTATGTGGCTTACAAAGGAAAAAACCAACTTACGATCAAGCCAGAAAAATGTTTTCCAAGATGTGTAGTATACTAGAATGAAAGATAGGTACAAAAGATTCTTAGTATCAACTTTTCAACTTTTACTCTTCTCCTCACTTACAAAAAAAAGAAAATATTTAATAACAACTTWTAACTGATTCATAATTTAATAGTTTATATTGTAACATTAACATTATTTTTTTCTATTTATTCCTTTTGAATGTGTGGTGCCTTTAAAATTAAATCATTTATGAGATCCTTAGTCTACAAATATAGAGTGTCTTTTTATTTATTATTTTATTATTTTGTTCAATATTGATTTACTGATTTAAAGATTTAATTTTGTGAATTTTTTGGTAGGCGTGATTTAAGTAATATACCATAGGTACTATATTAAAAGTTGTAAATTTTTTAATKTTGAAAAAAAAAATGACAAGAGCGCGATTATAAGAATATTAAGGCCACCGGCTTGTTTTACCACAGGTATTGGAAACCCTATGGTTACCTACGTCAGTTTTGGTATATTATGTCGTTGTTATTACCTACACTTGTGTGACCACAACAACGATGTTGTGGTCACTCCGAAAACCGTCACCCACCGTATTCACGCATTGTCAGTCGTCACGCACGCAAGCTATTATTGCTCATTCGAATTCGGCGTCTCGTCCTACCACCACCACGCGGGCGTATAATGTATTATATAATATGGTTGAATCGTATTGTTTTCTCCGAGACAATTTAGTCCCCGGGCTCCGTGGGTTAGCAGTAGAGGGTGAGTTTCCGGRGGCTCACCGCGTGTACGGGAATCGCGTATACAATGACGGTGACAGGCCGAAATTAATATAAATCGACATATCGTATTTCGCGGTCACAATAATATGACGCGCAGTCGTCCTGCCCAAGACGTTACGTATCGTGTATATAGACGATAACCTTCGAAGCACTTCTACTACCTCCCCCCCCCGCACCAATCACCAACCGTTACACCACCAAACCCCTTCTCGAGTCGAGTCCAAGACTCCTGCAGCCCACCAGACCCACGTGCATTGTATTGTGCCGAATCGGCAAACTGTCAAAACCACGTTCAATACTCTGTGTAGCTGCTGTAACTGTAAATACGTATATCACATACATATATATTCTATATGATAATATTTCGAAGGACTCGCACGCAGACTTGTACAGCTCTTCTCCGGAATAATGTTTATCTGCACGATTATCATTATTGTTATTATTATTGCTGTTGTTGTTGTTTTTGTTGTCGTTGTTAAAATCGCCAGCCACACTGTAATAATAGGTCCTCGTATTTTATTATCATACACGTTTCGTCAACAGCATTCGAATACGAACACGATGACATGCACATCAGTGATACAATAATATTATTATTGTACATGTTGTTTCTATAACATGATAGTTTAAATAAAATGTATTATTGTGTTTGTTTTATTATAGTCAATGGAACGATTGGACTCCGAAATTTCGCAGGTCAGACACGTGATATTATAAGCAGGGCTCGGATTTTATGCATTCGGTAATTGTTATTGGATACAGATAAAAGTATCAGGGACTTCGAATGTGAAATCTTATATACTGCTAATTTTTTCGGATTATTTTAGGATTTTAGAGTTATTTTTCAAGGTTTGSTACTATTTTTGATAATTTGCATGGTAAAACTTTTATTTTGTATTTTCATAAATCTAATTACAATATAATATATGGTATTAAAAATAAAAAAGTTTGTCATTTATTTGAATTCATAAGAAAAATACAAAATATCCACATTTTTTATCATATTGAAATCTACATTCATACGATTTTTTTTTTTAAATTGCGAACAGAATACATTTTCACATTTGCTATTTTTATATCTTTAGTACATATTATAGCGCATATTTCAGTTATTTCTAGCTATATAATCCGAACTCTAATGATAAGGTTTCGAATTCAACTCTAGTCGCGATMCGTAACTATCACTGTATTGGATGTCATGTTGACAACATCGGTGCAATCGGTGCGCAATGATAATTTCTTAAACGAAATGCATCATCATATTTTGTTTTATTTTTTCTTAAGGTTTTGAAAGATGAAGTGTTTTTGTAATGTCTGATAAGTGGTCACTTAAAACACTTTTTATATTATGTTTGGTCTGCAAATGTTTTTTTTTTTTATAATGGAAAGAGGTTTTTAAAAAAACAATATCGAGTAGTCTAATATATCGAATAGAAACCCTGTGAGTATTGTTGATACTTTGAAGCCTCGAAGGGAACGATTTTATTCTTTATTTTTGACAAAATCGAAAACAAATTTAAAGGCACATGTCACAGAATTCTGTATTATAGACATTTTTGTAGTTTTGGTGTTTTTGTTTTTGTCATTGTTATAAATATATATATCACGTCATAAATATTTGTAAACATGACCTGTACCAATTATTAAACTAAAGTATTTTTTTTTTTTTAGAATATTCTACAGTGGAGTGTTATTCTGACAATTTAGAATTATAGAATATGAATTTATAGTTTGATACTTATTTATAAACGTA